TGCCAGGCTGTAGCTTTACCCAGCAGAGAGCGAGAGAAATGTTAGGGAAGCAACTGAGCCTTATGTTGCATAGCGACCTGGAATCAGATTTCTTGCACCACCTTAGGTTAGGTTAGAGTGTCTGCCATCACGCAGAGGGAAAGCCTGTAGTGATACCACTGGCGGCAGCCATTTGCTTCTTTCCCTCCTTTAATAATTTAACCACCGGGTGCGTTTTAGATAGCACAAAAAGTCGACAACGTTCACCGAGTACAGGCTAAACGTTGTAAAAAGTACTTGTTGAAGAATTGGTAACGCATTGAGGTGGGACGGTAGCAGAGATAATGTTCGATGCTCTCCAACTATAACTCGTCTCTGCAACTGCGACCAAAATCGTTGGTGGGGTATCGTTGCCTTTTTCGTGAGTGCCCATCAGGCAGTGTCCGGTAATTAGAGCTATGGATCACTTTACATTACTTGTTGGCCAAATTTGCCTGGTAACACAGCAGTTGGTTTCCACAGCCCTTCTGGTATTTATCTCCTCGATGAGTTCGGTATTTAGTCTGTATTTTCCTTGCGAGCTCGTCGGCTGTGCAGTTGCCAGGAATGTCCCTGTGTCCAGCGACAACAATAATACAGACAAGGCACATTTTGGTACCAGAAGGTTGTGAGTCCTCCTGCAGTCTATAGCTACTTTGGACGTTGTTCTTATCTTTGATAGCAGCCTGGCTGTCAGAATAAATAGCGATAGGCCGTTCTTGAGGGGCGAAGGTTACGAACCTCCATTACGACGTTTTGCTATGCTTGACCAACGCTATTATAGTCCGGTAAGCGAAAACTGAGGTTTGGCGCGAGTTCACCAGAATAAATCCCGCTACCCACTCTTTCGTTAGGCTTGAAATCTGTATATATAGCCGTCGACCCTGGGTTTAAGTCTGTAGCACCTTCCCATTCGTTTCTCTCTGGGGAACTTATGGAGAACTTGTTGTCTAAACAGAGTAAGTGAGTGATATAATCTAGAATTCGTAGATTATTCGGTATAGTTTCAGGACTTTTGCGTGTCCGAATCTGAGATCTCACCACGGCTGTATGGTATTTAACCTGGCCGCACTGCAGCCTTGCTTTAATAAACTTATTCAGCTCAGTAACATAAATTCAAAAAAAAAAAAAAAAAAAAAANAGTCCAGTTATCGAGTCGAATGGAATTAGGATATGAGCTAAATTCTATTATAAAGGAAAATCTGTCATAATTGAATAAAAACTTAACCAACTTTTAAAATCTATTTTATGTTGTATCAAAAACATATTCATACTTCATATTGCACTTTCTAAATAAACAAATCAGTAAAAGCAAAAATGCTGCATTTTATTCATAGTTTACCACCAAATATGGTTAAGGTAATGAAATTAAATATGAGAGCAAATGAATACTCGGCTGACTCAAATAAAGATGGCAATCCACTGAATCACTATCGAGTTTGGAAGTCGCCAGTATGTTGGCCGGCAAGCAGCGAATAACTGTTTACATATTTGTGCCTGCTTATGTAAGCATGTGCGAAATACCAAAGAAACACATATTTTCCATTCGACAACGTGACTCATCAATGCAAGGGTGAACGATGAAATCACCAACAGTTTGAAGAAATTGAATACGCGTAAAAAATTCCATTATGAAGTATTGGGGGCATCTATTTTCAATGGCATTTTTTGTAAGCCAATGAAAAGGGGGAAATGTTGCATGTATTATATTCTATTATGTTGAATGATTAGGCTAATCTTATTTCGAGCCCGTTAAAAAATTTCCTTCATTCTGCATTTTACATGGGCATAGAAAAAATTGGCGACTTCTGTACAAAAGCAAGCAGCAGTCCGAAAGACGCGTCTGCATGTGCGTTTGTATCTACATATATATACAGTGGTGGAAGAAATAATAGAAACTTTTTACTTTGACCAGTTTTGGCTGTATTACTTTGTTTATTCGACAGTGGTAGAAGAAATAATAGAAACTTTTCACTTTGACCAGTTTTGGCTNTATATACAGTGGTGAAAGAAATAATAGAAACTTTTTACTTTGACCAGTTTTGGCTGTATTACTTTGTTTATTCGACAATGGTAGAAGAAATAATAGAAACTTTTCACTTTGACCAGTTTTGGCTATATTACTTTGTTTATTCGATGTTTAATATTTTTGTATAAAAGTCTAGCGCAATATATAACACACACTATATAAATCCATATTTCAAAGTTTGTACAAAAATTATAAAAATTCAACAAATTTTAACAAAATCCCCCAAAAATTTCTAACTTTTTAATCAGATTTTTTTGAAAAATTTTGGGTGTGCAGTTTCATAGCCCATTAAATTTTAGGAGGTAAAAGTGCAAACCGCAAGACGCTAGAAAATCGCATTGAATTTTAATATTTATTTTTTTTGTTGACGCTGCTAGGCATTTCCTTCCATATAAAAAGAAATGTTGAGCATGGTCGAGAGCACAACACCGCCAGCCAAATAAATTATTAAAAATCAACGCGATTTTCTAGCGTTTTGCGGTTTGCAGTTTTACCTTCTAAAATTTAATGGGCTATAAAACTGCATACCCAGAATTTTTCAAAAAAAAAATCTGATTGAAAAGTTTGAAACTTTGGGGGATTTTGATAAAATTTGTTGAATTTTTATAAATTTTGTACAAACTTTGAAATGTGGATTTATATGGTGTATGTTATATATTGCGCTAGACTTGTATACAAAAATATTAAACATCGAATAAACAAAGTAATATAGCCAAAACTGGTCAAAGTGAAAAGTTTCTATTATTTCTTCTACCACTGTATATGTACAGTATGTTTGATATTTCCAGGCCCCACTTTATCATATTCCTGAAATACTGTAGAACTTTCATTGAAATATCGATTCATCGCTCATTTCGTTTTGCTGACGTAATTGCTGCTTAACACACTCTCTAAGATAGTGCTTATCATGTGCCAGGGCACAAAACCGCATTATTGCTGTATTGAAAATTTTTAAATAAAACGTTTTGCACTTCTTTTGACTCGCATTCGTAAAAAAAGGATTTCATATTGCTAACCTAATAAAACGTAATCTTATCGCAAACAACTGATCAATTAGAAGGTATCATATCAGTTTTGCTGCCTCTTCAAGTCCTATATTTTTCCTAAGTTTTGCTGGCAATTCATTAAGTTTGGAAAAATATAGATAAACAAACAGATGTAAATCTAAAAGATTTTGGTTAGAATGGAATGAAATTGAATTATAAGTACGTTATTTTAAGCTTACTGAATTTTCGGCAGTGTAATATATTTGACATTTGCTCTGTAACTTAAAATTTATATTTTTAGCGATAGACCCTTGGCCCAAAAACTATCTCCAAAAAACATTGGACATGTGAGGAAATCTACGAAACCCGACTTTTTCGCTGCTCGGTTGTGTAGCCATGAAAACAGCTTATAGCCCTTTAGTTAGAATGCACGACCATCCGATCAGATGATATGCATAAAGGCGAAAGTTGATAGAAATATTCCAAGAAACTTTAAAAATTTAAACACATTTTTTTTTNGTGTGTGTACGAATATGAAAAATTAAATAAGTTGCAATTTATTTATTTATTTTTTGGTTTTGTATAGAAAAGGCAAGTTAAGGCACTACATATTTGAAATCGTATAATAGCCTTATTCATATATTTTATGTATAAGTAGCTTTAAAAAAGGTTTATAAACTGAAAAATTTATGAAAATTTATTTACGTCAATTTATAAAGCTCTTTAAACCTACTTTATTTTTTAGGAATAAGGCCATAATGCTTTTTTCTATACTTTTAAAATATTTTAGATATACATATAAATGTATGTATGTATATGTATTTTAAATCTCATTTCCAGCGTTATTTTATACATATGTATGAATCTCATTCTGCTGTGTGAATGTATTTTAAAAGATATATGCTTCTTTTTCATTTTTATTTATCATTGCATGGAATTTGAGTGTAAAGCAATAAAGAAGGCAACTTTAACTGATTTTTTTCTCCTTAGCTATTTTTTATAAGGCACATTTTACCTTTTTTATTTTCTTTTTGCTATACTTATTTTATGTTAATGTACATAGTTATGTATTTATACACTTTGTAAAATCCATAAAAATACAACTTAGTAGCAGCACAAGTTTCATTTTTGTTTAATATTTTTTTTTGCTTTTAAATACGATAGGTAGTTAATTAACGTACATATGCATATAAAAATTATTTATGTATACAATTATTGTTATTGTTATCTTTAGTTTCAATTCCTATACATCCGTATCAATTACAGTATTTCCGTTTCCGTTCGCGCGGTGCAAGTCAGCAAAGTAATACGTCGTACCTCTAGTCCGCACACAACAAAGCAACCACCAAGGTGCTGAGTGTCCAAAGCAAAAGGACCTTTTTAGTGACTAACGTTGTTGGTTCACATTGGACACACGTTTGCTTTGGCCATCGCTTAATTATCTGCACGTCATCGTCAAGTTCTTTTCTCTCTTTTCTATTATTTTCTTTTTAGTCAATTGTTTTCTTTTCTATTTTTTTCCAATCAACTCATGCATATCTGTATTGCAAAAATGAGGCGTTTTTGTTGTTTGTCAATATAAGTATGTAGATTTTTTTGTTGTTGCTGAGTTTGTTCACTTGTAGACAACAGCAAAATCAGGTTACTTGTGTGGGCGTTGGCGCCGCTGCGTTAATTTCACTATCAGCACTGCTGGCGCCGACTCCACCAGCAGCATCATCAGTTGAGTTTACGTTTAGATTTGCGTTTGCGTTCACGTCTTTGTCAACGTCAACGTCTACTACTACATTTAAATTTACATTATCACTAGTGTTAGTAACATTATTAATTGCATTTGCAGAAGTGATGTTGATATCATCAATGTTGGTAGTGATAGTGGGGATGGTGTTTCTTAAGAATGAAGACGACTCAGCGATAGAACAACTAAGCTTAGCTAATAAATCAATGATAGGTTTATCATGTTGCACCTCATCGTATTTCTTGTCAGCCTCCTCAGCAAGGAAACGAGCTTCCTTCAATTGATTCTCAAGTGCGTCCATGCGTTCTTCATCGGCAAGGGCGCGGTTCTCAAGGATCTTACGAGCGCTATTTTTTGTTATATTCGTAGTAAAGTGATTTTTAAAATATCGATTTCAATGCCCATAGGAGACCGTTCAAGCAACGGTGAGTCGAAAAAACGACGAGGATACAAATTTAGCATTTGTAGTGTTCAGATGTTGCCATCGATACGTCGAGCGTGTGCATGTTGGAGTAACGTTGATCGATTTTTTACGGTTTTTAGGAGCAGTACAACAGGAACGGTTTTAACATTGGTGTCGACATAAAAACAGTTGGATTGGCGCATACATTTCGTTCATAGTTGGTTTCGTTTGTTTGTAGTTACAAAAATACATATTTTTATGTTTGTACACATTTACACAGGAGTAATTGTAATTAAGTGTTTGTTGTTATTTGTTGCAGTGTAGACAGATTTTATAGTTGCGTAGAGGGCCATTTCGTTGGATGTAGCGTTTAAACCAGTTTCATATTTGTCAGTTAATATATAAGTTTTGTAGAAAATAAACAAGAAATTTGTTTGGAATTTAGTTAGATGTAGCTTTTACAAGCAACTTATAAAATTGTTTAATTTTTTGAAAAATTCAAAAATGTCCTTAGTTTGCATTTTACTACTCAAACATATTAGCTTAATTTAATTATTTTTCTACTGAGTTAAAATATTGAGATTTATTACTGGTCAGCAGTAAACAGCTGATTTAAGTACAAGTTGAGGAAAGATTAACCATATTGGCGATGTTGCCAATGAAAAGAGATTTTATTGATTTTTTTTTATACTAAAAAGCAATAAAATTAATTATAAATGCAATCTAAAGAAGTTTTGGAATTTATAGTGAAAGTTAAAGGTACATAAATACATATCTACATATTTTAAAAATAGTATAGTTTACAAAATTCTAAACATAAAGTTGTAATAACTTAAAGCGTAATTACGATATGAATTATAATTAATAAATAATAAGGGCTTGAGATTTGTATTGTATGTATTTAAACCGCGAATCCTTCAGCAGCATCCTTCAGTTCGTAGAACTCCAGAAGATTCTTTCCAATCCAAACGCCGACCTATTTGTTTATTACTAAAACATATAAAATATTTAAAACTAATAAAAAAAAACAATTTGCAATCATCAGTGAAAGCACTTTATACACGTCGTATAAAGAAGAGTGCGTCGGGGAAAAAAGAGCATTACCCACAGAATAATGAAAAAAAAAAATAAAGATAAACGTAGGGAGCAACTTTTGTAAACCATTTGAAGTCTACTCGAAAAAGTATAAAAAACCTAATAACCCTAAGGCCCTATCTACATATATAGAAGCGCACGCTTACTTAGCGCGCAAAGATATTTCTTTTTTATTGTCTTTTTACTGAAATTTATACCTCTTCGTATTTTTTATCGGCCTCTTCGGCAATTAATTTTGCTTGCGCTAATTGGGTTTCCAAAATAGCTACTCTGTCGTCTTCCATATTTGTACGATTTTCAAGAGCTTTTCGTATCCTGTAGTTGGGGAATTTACAAGTGTAACAATTATTTTGCTTATATACATAAATATAAATATGATACACGTGAGATAATAAGAGTACATATACTATGTACATATACGTTATCTCGTACAGATTAAGTAATTATTCTAAAAATAGTTATTGTTACTTTTTTTTTTGATTCATAAATAATAAATAGAAATATATTTTTTTTAATAATATTTAAAAAATATAAAAAATCCCTTGCTGCAATTCGCAGACAAAGGTATACTAACCGTTCGCTCTCATCGGCAGCTTGAGATGCTTCCGAAAGCTTGGCTGTGGCTGATCCCAAACGTTCCTCTGAACGTTCCAAGTCTTCTTCGAGCAATTGAATGCGACGGTTCAATGCTGCTACTTCTGATTCAGCCTGAAATTTCAAGTTAAACAGCACACATTGGAAATAGCATTTACTTATAAAAGATCTTATAAATCTTAAATTAAGGCTAGGCTTATTAGAAGCTTATACATAAGTATGTGCGTACATATTTTAATCTAAAGATATTCTCAAATACTCTTCAATATGCGCTTAAAACTACTATAAACATTTCTAAATTCCATGAACTATTGGTTTCTCAAAGGGTTCAAATTGTATGAAACTTCAAATTTATCAACAAAATTGAAGTTGTAATATTCCTCAAAATCAAAATCTATTCAGAAAATTGTATTGAAAGGAACAGAATCTAAACTGCTGTAACTGTTTGTGGGTAAGCTCTCTTTATGTTCTATTAACTCTTAGTTTTTAGTAAACTCCTTGGATCCACTTCTGGCTGCTGATGGCCTGTAAAAATATTTAACTAACCATTGCTTTCTAAAATATGTGCAAATACAAGCTTAACTAAATATCTCTTTGCTAACCAAATAAAGGTATAGCAATTTTAGTGTTATTTATTTTCTGCTTTTTTTAGACGATCTCTTAATAGCCCAAAATGTACTTAGTTTCCTAAAATGACCTTCAGAAACAAACTTCTATATCAATTTACTACACTAGGCGCCTAAATGGTGAACGCTTTGCCAAACGCAACAAAAAAAAACCATCGCAACAACGGCGTCAATTAAATTTGAATGACATCACTGCGCACGAGACACACGACCTGACAAATAATGCCATTGAGGGACAAAAATTTGTCAATCAATAATTTAGTTACAAAGCCCTAAGCAACAGTAGTGGTAAAATTTTAATGTATTTACAACAAACAAATAAATAAATTTCGGCTTGTAAGTTGTCACAAAAATACCGACAATTACATAATCAAATAATTAAAAGCCAAGCATTTAATTTTATTTGTTAGAAAAATACATAAGTAATTTAATTTCCTGCTATAAAAATATGGTCACACATCAACTAGACGCATATTTCTGCTAAAATGGCGAGTTCAAATCGCAAGCTTTATATGGACGAGTGTGAAAACACAATTTATGTATGATTATATGTACATATATATGTATGTGTATATGTATTCTAGTGCACGATTGGGCAACGAAAATCGACTAAAAAGGCAATGCTCATTGACCAGCACCGGCACCAACATCATTTACTCTACTACAATGCAGGCACCGGCTATGAAACCACCACCAAAATTCCTCAACAAGTTAGACAAGCAACGCTAAAATGTTAATATGCAACAGCAAAGAAACGACTACCGTATTTGAAATTACTTTAATGGGACTTTTGAGGCATCTAAAGTGAGGGAGAAATTTTTAGATACCAGCTAGACTAGTTGTTTTGCTTGGATGGTAACAAAATAAAATTTACTACTCCGATATTTCGAAACAAAATATGTATATAAAACGAGGAAAAGCAAAAATGTACAATTTTTTTTAGGAATATCTGCATAAAGGTAACACATAACAGATGAAGTTATGTATGTAGGTACAAAAAAAGTTAAAAAGCAGAGAAAAACCACAAAGCGACACACACACTCCATGCACAAAATGTGATATGAATTTGAACGAAGGTAAGATTACGTCATCGCCCCACCAATCACTTCCATACATACATCAAACCAAGCAAAACCAAAGAATTCAACACAATATTCACGAATGCGGTTGTGTAAAAGGAGAAAGAATTTTAAAAAGTGATAAAAGGTTACTATTACCATAAAAAAGTCCCAAACACAAAAAAAAATTATTATATAGAAAATGAGAAGATAAAGAACGTTAGAAGTATTCAAACGGTCATTGAATTGGACAACTTGCTAAAAGTGTTTAAAAATGCAAGAGCACACACAGCTTGGCTTCTTTATTTAAAAGATATACCGAAATGAGGCACAATACTATAACCGCATTGAGAGATTAACCTCATTTTGTGTGTACGAGTGGTGAATGTGGTAGAAGAATCACTTGAATAACGCAACTACTTACACAGCGTATGTATGAATATAACGCCAACTACGAATAGCTAAAAGCAAATTTACATTTCTTTTTATTAGCATTTATTCAAAAGAGCATAAAATTTCTCCAAAGTGCCGCATACTGTGTCCTTTTTAAATTTTAGCGTGCCAAAAGTCGTAACTATGCAACGAAGGCATGTGTGATGTTGAAATTTTACAAGAACAATGCATCCACCTATATAATTTTGTTGGACCATACATGAGCGTGGTCCGTTCGGATTTGACCGTACCTCCCATATAAAGGATAGTGCCAGACGTTCATCATTCTTATATTTAAATTATTATCTTATCGGTATTCTTAATAAAAATGGTTAAATATTTTTGGCTGTTTTAAACTTAATTTTTTTTTGCTCCGAATCCGATAACGCCACATTGGATCCGCCGTTTTCTATTACAAAAATCTGACATCAGATTTGAAATTAGCGACATCGAAATTTATATATGCTTTTCTGGTGAAAGGGAAAAAATTATAAAATTTGGTCGACATATAGGATCCGCCATTTTGAATTCAAAAAAATCTGATCCCCCCCCCCACCCCATTTATATGAGTTTTTCATGAAATGGAAAAAATTATAAAGTTTGGTCGCCATATTGGATCCGACCTCAAAAACTCCCAAACCTCAAAAACTCCCAAACACTGAGTTTCAAATTACCTCGGTTACTTTTCGGCTTTTGGCCAGCAAATGATAGTCGCCAGACCACATTGTTTCTAGGGCTTATAAGAGGGAAATGCATACAACCGATGTGCTTATAAGCGAGAAACACTGTACTGTCAATGTATCTTCCCACTTTAATCAAAATATGTTTCATTACAGCATTATCATATTTGTTGTCATAAGCTACTCTCATCGGATGCATGCCATGTTTATTGAAAAAAATTAGAGCTTCGATCTTACAGGATCTTAAAGTCGAAATGTTCCTTATTATTTTGCATATAAACACTAGTCTGGGTGAGGCTAGACTTCCAACATCTGCTCCATTAAAAATTTTAATGTTTTCAAAATTATAACATATTTCGAATATTTTTTGTTTATATGTACATACATATATAAGGAAACTTATAAATCTGTAATACAGGTTTGAAACTTACTAAATAAATTAGAGGACATTTAAGCTAAACACGCATTAAGAATTAATTCAAAATAATTTCCCAAAAACGAGTACTGTTACTTAAAAGTATGCGAACAGCTTCAGACTAAAAAAATTATATTTTTACGCGTCATAATAGCCATCTGAAATCGTTTAATTTTGGACTTTTGGAATGCTATAATTAAAAAGGGGCACAGTGTGTGCCTGTGTGGCTTTGATGCAGAAACAATTCTGAATTTTAAAACAAGCTTAAAGTAAAATTTGTGGTAGGCATGATGACGATGAATACGACAGCAGCAGCAGCAGCAATCGGCTAGGTCAAACCATTGCACTTACTACATATCGCTGTCATTAAAAGTTTTCGTCATCACAATTGTTAATTAATGTAGCGGCATTTGTTGTCGTTGCTCCACGAAATAACAAAAAAAAAACTATCACATCGCGTTGTCAATGACAACAAACGACAGACCCAAATGCACTTACTATGCACATTAAATAATCGCTCGTTCCTCGTTGCAATGACAATGCACTCGTTGAAATGTCCGCGAGGTGTGTACCGATAGACAAATGTGCAATATAAGACTCTGATAAAAAATGCAAAGCATTGATTCAATGCATAAAAAATGCATTTATCCAAGTTCATTTGCAATAAATTTCAGAAGTATGTATATGTGTGCGCGGGTGTGTTTGAGTTATTTGGAATGCTATGAATTTGAAAATGTAGTACATATTGCTTTGAGCACAGCAACACGTTGAGTGCTTTTAATCAGCCGATTGCTAGAATTTATAGATTACGAAACTTTTACATTGTGTCCTCATTAGTATGTATGCAATAGATAAAAGCGTTTAAAGGACGCTTAAACTTCGTCATGAAAAGGTAGGAAAAGCTCACCGTGTGGGTTCTTAAAGTTCAAAACAAGAAAGAAGTAGTCATTAAACAAAGATGCTTAAACGGAAGCATTTACACTTGAATTTTTTTGAGTATGCAGCGTCATGCAGCCAGAAAAAAAAATATTAAAAACATCGCGACTTTTCAGCAACTTAAAAGTTGCACATTATTACCATAGAATTTAATGGGCTATTAAACTGCATACTGAAATAAATTCTGAAAAATCTGAATGAAAAGTCGACAATTTAGCTGAAACTTTGCAGATCTTTTATAATTTTTGCACAAAGTTTGAAATGTGGATTTATATGGGGTTAATAATAAACATTAAATAAACAAAATAAATATATCCAATATTGATCAACATATTGAGGATTTATTTAGCTTATCACAAGTGTATATATCTTTACTCACACCGCGATATCGTTTTTGTTAATTGCATTTATGGTATTTGTGACCGACTTCTGTTGTTCGATGAAGACTACCAATTATTTAATTATTTTCGTTGTTTCGCAAAAATATGTAATTTAATTTAACCTAAAAGGCTGCATTACAAAAAATGAATACTCGTTCCAAACAACGCTAGAAAGCAAATGCAAAAGCGGAAACGGAAAGTGGGCAACCAAACATTCACCTATTTCAAATTAAATTAAAAATGATGTCACATTATGATGTGCTAATAAAATTTCTGAACCGATTACAAACAGAAAAACAAATGCTTAGAAGAAAAAAAGGTTTTAACGGTATAGTATATACACATTCAAATAAAACATACATACATATGCACATATGTACAAACCCAGCCAGCAAAATATCCGGAAAGGTATCCGAAAATGGAAACAATTTCGTATAAAAACCTGATGTTTCATCCGTTTTCCGATTCCGTTTTCGGACGTTTTTCAGATCAATTCTCCCACTAAAGTGTTCATCCCAAACGTATGTGCAGAAAACTATCGAAAATGGTTCCAAAACAGATGCGCTTTCGGCTGTTTTCCTGAAATT